TGATTCATAACTTGACTGGTTGAACCAGAAAAAGTAGGTGAGGAATCTGTTCCGGTCATGATTGTAGATTAAACTGAGCAAGGGAAAAGAGAAAGATTAGATGACGAATTTCAAGAATCGAGCAGACAATTGCTCTGATACCATAAAAGAATGAGAGATAGATGATGCAAAAATTTTTCTCTACATATTTTATTCACTGTGTACAACGTATTTATACATGTAAAATTGATGTAAAGAGAAAATGTAGAAGTAAATCTACTCTAGCCATCTGTTCAATTACCAATCCCTATGTGTAACTAACTTAGATTCTTTTATTCCCTACTATGTATAAACTATGTATAATTCACGTGTATGAAGCTTCCTACTTATTTCCTGTATATTCAAAATCAACAGCTCTTGATCAACTTTTCTGATTGTTGTGATGCTTACGTGTGTCAATGCCAAATGGTAAGATTAAAACATACAAGTGAGTATAGTGACATCGTATAATCCGAAGAACCTAGGGCTTTTGTCTGAAACCTTTCTTCCTCTTCTTCAATTCTTCATCAATAAATAAAGCTTCTTCTGGTAAATTATCATGGGGCTTCTTCTTCTCATCATTATCAATATTTTTCTTATTTAAGACTTCTAATTCCCAAAATTGTATTCTTGTTGTAACGACCCGGCCGATCGTTTTGAGTATTACAACCCCTTTCCTTATTTACTGCTCAAATTATACTTTACAGTTGTTATGTGAATTGTCGGGGTAATTGGTTCGGGTCCGGTGAGGTTTTGGAATGAATTGGACCACTTAGTTCCAAGGTTTAAAGCTTAAGTTAAAATAGTGATCGAATCTGGACTTATGTGTAAACGACCACGGAATGGAGTTTTGATAATTTCAATAGCTCCGTATGGTAATTTTGGACTTAGGAGTGTGTTCGAAAAATTATTTGGAGGTCCATAGTGGAATTTAGCTTAAAATACCGAAAGTCGAATTTTTGAAAGTTTGACCGGGGGGTTGACTTTTTGATATCGAGGTCAGAATCCGATTCTGAAAATTTGAATAGGTCCGTAATATGAAATGTGACTTGTGTGCAAAATTTGAGGTCAATCGGACGTGATTTGATGTGTTTTGACACAAGATATAGAATTTAAAGTTTCAAAGTTCAATGATTTTGAATTGAGGTGTGATTCGTCGTTTTGATGTTGTTATGTGTGTTTTGATGCCTCTAGTAGGTCTGTGTTATGTTATGGAACTTGTTGGTATGTTCAGACGGGGTCCCGAGTGACTCAGGTGAGTTTCGGATGAGGTTCGGAGCATTTTGGAAGTTTTGGCTAAGGCTGAAATTTTTCTGTTGCTGGTGTCTTCGCACCTACGGAAAAGGGCTCGCAGGTGCGATGGTCGCAGAAGCAACACTCAAGTTGCAGAAGCGAGGGAGTTCTGGCTGGGAAGGCATCACAGAAGCGGAAGCCAGGGCGTAGAAGCGCTTGCGCAGGAGCGGCTCAACACGCGCAGAAGGTGCGGTCCTTGGCATCGCAGAAACGATTATGGCTGGCCAAGCTGTTCTCGCAGAAGCGAGATTTTTCCCGCAGAAGCGAAGGTCGCAGATGCGATCCCTTGTCCGTAGATGCGGAAATCGCTAGGACAGAACCTTAAATTCGAGGGTTCGACATTTTTACCCATTTTCGGATTTTGGAGCTCGGGTTGGGAGATTTTTGAGAGGAAATTTTTCACATAACTTGGGGTACGTGTTGTTAACTCCCTTGTGATTATATTCCATGAATTCATCTTCATTTTTGGTGTAATATTATTGAATCTTCAATAGAAATAGAAGAAAATTTGTATAATGTCACAAAACGAATTTTTCAAGTTTGAATACCGATTTAGAGTCCGATTTGAGTGAAATTAGTATGGTTGAACTTGTAATTGGATGGGTTGTCGTATTTTGTGAGTTTCGTCAGATTTTGAGATGTGGGCCCCACGAGTGATTTTTGGGGCGTAATTTCGGATTTTGTGGAAAATATTAGCATTTTAATATGAAATTAATTACTATAAATTGTGTGGACTGAATCAAATTAATTGTGGTAGATTCGAGCTGTTTGGGAGTTGATACGCGCATAATGGGATTTCTGGAGCATTGTTTAGCTTGCTCGACATTGGATTCGGCTTGTTCGAGGTAAGTAACTCTTCTAATCTTGGAGTTGAGGCTATGAACCCTGAATATATGTATTTCGTGAATTGTTGGGAGGTGACGCCCATGTTAGGTGACGGGCGTGTGGGCGTGCACTATAGAAATTGTGACATAATTGTTTATGTGGAATTTTGTAGTTAAATAACCTTGGCATTCTCCATGCGGTTTTATGTGTCAAAGAAATTGAGCTGAAAAGCATATTAAAAATTATGTTGAGGCTATGTGCCAGTATTTTGGGACCCACAGAGGTCATATTATTGTGAATTATTTATTTTAAATTGAAAATTCATACTCAGTCATATTCATTTCATTACATATCATATCTCAGTCTCTGTTGTTATTCATTGATACATCATATCTTCATTTTGGGCTATTCTCATGACATTGCGAACCCATGAGAGAGAGACTGGAGAGATTGATGACTGAGGGAGGCCGATGACCTGATTGTAAGGATAATTTTTTGGGATTGGGCTGCACGCCGCAGCAGGCCATGTTAGCTTTATATATATTATTACTATTATATGGATCGGGGCTTCCCGCCTGCAACAGGCCTTATTGGCTTATTATGGCACGTGAGTTGTCCGTGCGGATTCAGATATTATTATAGCACTTGAGTTGTCCGTGCAGCACATGAGTTGGCCGTGCGGATCCAGATATTATTATAGCACGCGAGTTGTCCGTGCAGCACGTGAGTTGTTCGTGCAGATTATAGCGCTTGGGCTGAAGGAGCCACTCTGGAGTCTGTACACACCCCCAGTGAGCGCAGGTACCTACTAAGTGCGAGTGCCGAGCGATTGGGAGGACTGAGTGATTGGGAGAACTGAGTGACTGTGAGGACTGAGTGACTGAGTGAAATGATACTCTGAGAGTATGCATATGATTTTATCACTGAGTTGCATCGCATTGACACACACACATGACATACAAGCATAGAGATGTATTTTTCTCATGTTGTACAGTATCACATCATTCATGATTTCTCACACATGTTGACAGATAGGCATAGTGATGCATTTGTTTTTACACAGGTTATCTGGAAAGAAAATGAAACATCTCATTTATTATTGAAAGTATTTTGGAAAAATTATTGTTTTCAAACTTATTCATATTTTTGGCAACTTCGATAAACGATTTGAGTTTTTACTGATGTACTTGAAAGGAAGAATTATCACTACTAAAAATTCGACAAAAACCGACCAAGGTCGACCGACAAACTTTGGTCGGTCAAAAGACCAACCAAAAAACCGACCAAAGTTGGTCGGTTTTTCAAAATATTTTTTTTAATTTTTTTTTTACGAAATCGACCAACTTTGGTCGGTTTCCTTTGGCGCAAAAATGCGGGAAACTATTTTTGAGTCCCACGAAATTTATGTTTCAAGAAACCGACCAACTTTGGTCGGTTTTTCAATTAAAATAAATAAAAATTAATATTAAAAAAACGACCAAAATTGGTCGGTTAATTCGGCGGGTCATTTAAAAAAACCGACCAACTTTGGTCGGTAATTTTACTTTTTAATAAAACCGACCAACTTTGGTCGGTTATTTTCGTGCGAAAATACAATTAAAGAGTATAAATCAAATAAAAGACAATCTTAAAACAAAATGTACCAATGGTCTAGTGGTAGAATAGTATCCTGCCACAGTACAGACCCCGGTTCGATTCCCAGATGGTGAATCTTTTTATTACATAATTAAAATACCGACCAACTTTGGTCGGAAAAAACCGACCAACTTTGGTCGGTTTTTTTTGCAATATTTTTTTTTTTGAATTTAATTGACCGACCAAAGTTGGTCGGTAATTTCCAACCAACTTTGGTCGGTATTCATTTCCGACCATAAAAATACCGTCCACACGTAAATGGTCGTATTTTGGTCGGTTTTTGGCTATTATCGACCAACGTTGGTCGGTTTTTTTGGTCGGTTTTTACCGAATTTTTAGTAGTGTATTATTTTTGAAACCATGATTTAGCTGAGTATTTTATATCTGAGTTACTTCTTGTATTATTTGCTTTACGTGGTTATGGAATGTTGTGGACTATTGGTTTTTGGACCCGACCTTGGTAAAAGCTCGTCACTTCTTTCAACCTAAGGTTAGGTTTGTTACTTACTCAGTACATGGGGTTGGTTGTACTGATACTACACTTCTGCATATTGCGTGTAAATTTTGGCTGATATTGTTGCTGTGCTCGATGGTTGCCGGATTTGAAGATGTACTTGCGTTCTTATGGTAGCTGCCTCTTATTCATGGTAGCCTTAGATTACAAAAACTATGTTTATGTACTTTTCAAACAGAAAATGTATTTACTTCATATCAGCTTTGTAAATTCTATTCTTAGAAGCTCATGATTTGTACTACTAGTTCTTGGGGAATGTATAAGATTAAGATTTTCCTTTACTTAAATTGCTTTAATAATTGTTAATGGAATTGGATAGTTGATAATTGGCTTACCTAGCGGGTTGGGTTAGGTGCCATCACGACTAGTTGAATTTTGGGTCGTGACACTTGTTAAATAAAGTTCTTAAAAGAAAAGAGAACACATTTATGAACAGTCAATTAATCCTTGAAGAAATGATTGTAAATCAATCCACTTGGTTATACTTGGAGAAAAATTAGTTTGTGGATTTTTGAATTCATACTCACCGTATTTTTCTTCAAACCAAAAATTGTGACAAAATAAATAAACTTACATCTTGATTTAGTTAATTGAAAAATTGTGAAAAAAATGGTTTAGGACTACTTGTCCCACACCGAAGGGAGACAACAAGATCCTGGCATTTATAATGAGCAGTTGTCAAGGAGATCAACAGGAACGTGAGGACTTCTAGGAAATGTTCCCTTTTAATCTTCAAGAAAATTCTCATGGGAATCAGGACCTGGGAATCAGGTGGATTTGAAGAAGATTGAGCCAGTTCACAACTGGCCTAGATGTAAGAAAATTTTTATTACTCTTATGAAGTGCTAATTAGATACATAACTACGTATACGTATCTTATTTATACTCAAAATTTTAAAATTTTCTTAGTTTGCATTAGTTTTTCTTATGTACCGCTAGACAACTTCTTCAAGGAAGTTCATAACTTTTATTACTTGAGTTTAAGGTCTTCACTCCACCAGCCAAACCGAAGAAAAAGTAATCACTATAATAAGAAGCAAATTCATAAGTTCATTGCTTTCACATTCGTAACATTTAATTTCTTGCTATTACTTTCTTGTAGATATACAGAAAGTATATCTTGCATGCATGCTTAAATTATCTAATCTGAGCAACATTTGTTACTCGATCCATTAACTTCATCAAGTGTTTAATTAATGCTACTATACCAGTTACTTACGCACGTAGATATATATTCATAATTTTGATAATTTCTTAAACCTTACTTAGTAAGTATGTATCATTCTTTCCTTGTTGAATATATCGTTACAGTAGAAAGATTGAGTTCAGATATGACTTTATGTACTGCAAATTCAAACGAAGTTAATTAGCTTTTTCTACTTTTATACAGCACACTAATGATATTAATTGTATCTGTTAGAGTGATTTTCTTTTTACAAGTCACACCAACTGAGTTGCAGTGGTTTAATTGAATAACTTGGATCACATATGGACCCCTGGAATTTATGATCTCATGCAAACGATAGAAACTCCTATAAATAAAGCTACCATTTTCTCTCCTTAATTTTCTACGTACTATAACTTCAATTCCTCCTTTAGATCTCCATGACTTCCACCAAAAACAACATGATTCTTTTAGTTATCACCATTTTAACTATAACTTTTAACAGTGCTTCTGCTGCTGATCCAGATCCTCTCCAAGATGTTTGTGTCGCAGATCTGAACTCAAGTTAGTATTCTTTTTTTCTTTTTTCAATAACCAACTTCTCACTTCCTCTATGGTTAACTAATAAATAGTTATATGTTTTTCAGTGATAGAAAATGCCGATCTATTTTCTCATTGCTTTCACTGTTCTTTCACCCAACTATACAACTTCCTCATCGTCTCTCAAGAATCTCTGACGTAAACATGATACGCGTAAGCAAAAAAATGTAGTTGAAACTGTCTTTGGAGCAATTTAACGTTCAACCCCCACTCCCCAAACCACACACATATGTATATGTTATCACCGAGCACTTATATCATTCCTAAACTTGTTTTGCCATATGGATAATTAAAATATTTTTGCACAAACAGTCTATATGATCCTATTGTAGTAGCTAGGTAAAAACTTACTTTATTTACTAGTTTACTTATCTCACTCTTTATGGCCGCGTGACTTAAAGTCTTCTCTATTAAATCTTTTATTTATATCATAATGCTGATTATTTATATTTAATTGTTCCTATAAGCTTTTCTAATATATATGTGAAACAGCTATAACGGTGAACGGATTCCCTTGCAAAAGGAACTTTACATTCACACCAGAAGATTTCGCATCAATGGGAATCGCACAACCAGGAGAACCGAATATATTTGGCACTCGAGTCGGTGTAGCCAACGTTTTTAACATGCCTGGCCTTAACACACAGGGTGTATCAATGGCTCGAGTAGACTTTGATCGTGATGGTTTAAACCCCCCACATACTCACCCTCGAGCCACTGAAATTATATTCGTAAAAGAGGGTACGTTAGTTGCTGGATTCATCACTACGGACAATATTTTTGTTAACAAGTTGATCACAAAGGGAGAAGTCTTTGTTTTTCCAAGAGGTCTCATCCATTTCCAGTTTAATGTTGGCAGAGGTAACGCAACTATTATTGTGGCCTTTAACAGCCAAAATCCTGGTGTTCAGCTTATTGCAATTTCCATATTTGCGAGTAGACCTCAAATTCCAGAAGAAGTTGTGGCTAGGGCATTTCAAACTAGTGTCGAGGAAGTTCGGGCGATAAGGGCAAGACTTGCACTACCTACTGCAGGCTTACCTTCAGGCTGCCAATGGGACGACCACAATATGCATTCACAATATGATAAACGTGACGATCGTAACATACACTCACAATATGATAAATATGACAGCCGTAACATGTACTCACAATACGATAAACCTGATGACCGTAATATGCACCCACAATACGATCGTAATATGTACTCACGATTTGATAAACGTGACAATCGTAATATGCACTCACAATATAATAAATGTGACAACCGTAATATGTACTCACGATATGATATTATGTAATGACTTAAAATTTTATTGTAAGAGTAATAAATAAATGGTGGTTATGAATAATTTCTCAGCTTTTGCTTTTGATTTCTCGGAATGCATCTTTGGTGTCTTTTAAATAACAAACTCAAATTCGGTAACTCTTAATGTCTTTTGTTATCAAAATTCTCCAAAACATATATGTTAAGGGGTCGTTCGGTTTACATATTATTATGAAATTATAGAACATAATTGATTATATCGCGATTAATAAGAAATTAAGACATTATTATACATGATTATTTATGGCAAGACTTGCACTACCTACTGCAGGCTTACCTTCAGGCTGCCAATGGGACGACCACAATATGCATTCACAATATTATAAACGTGACGATCGTAACATACACTCACAATATGATAAATATGACAGCCGTAACATGTACTCACAATACGATAAACCTGATGACCGTAATATGCACCCACAATATGATAAACATGACGATCGTAATATGTACTCACGATTTGATAAATGTGACAGTCGTAATATGCACTCACAATATAATAAATGTGACAACCGTAATATGTACTCACGATATGATATTATGTAATGACTTAAAATTTTATTGTAAGAGTAATAAATAAATGGTGGTTATGAATAATTTCTCAGCTTTTGCTTTTGATTTCTCGGAATGCATCTTTGGTGTCTTTTAAATAACAAACTCAAATTCGGTAACTCTTAATGTCTTTTGTTATCAAAATTCTCCAAAACATATATGTTAAGGGGTCGTTCGGTTTACATATTATTATGAAATTATAGAACATAATTGATTATATCGCGATTAATAAGAAATTAAGACATTATTATACATGATTATTTTATGGATTATTTATACAGATATTATTTGTCTAATAATGCGACCAAACAGACATTGTACTAGGTTACACGAGATTTTACCCTATGATTTAAGTATTCATATACCATCAGCCAAATTACCCTAGTGGATTAAATCAGTCAAAAATCTCTACGCACTGGAAACTAATATTCATAAATGAAGACCAAGAAAGGAAAGGAACGTAGAAGCAATAAACTAGAAATAGACAGAGAACAACATATATGTTATCTACCTCGTAATATTAATGTTAGCCATAGTATGTTTTTGTTTTGATGATTGATAAAGAAACACATGTATAAACCAGGTCCATGGACAGTGTACACATGACACAGGCAGATTCAAGCACAAGGCATACACGTGAAGAGGATAAGCTTAAGTGGTTATATTTGATATTCCCTGAACGAAAATGTTGCATAATTGATAAGGAGCAGGACTCCTTACTTGAAGAGAACTCTATCCTAAATAAGGGAAGAGTTAGAGATTGACGTTAACTAGAACTCTTCCACAAAGGAAGAGTATAGCATCAGAACTCTAGTTAATCCTAATCCTACTAACTCTATATATTTCAGGATGTTCTCTTTTACAGGTGACACACAAACGCTGAAGTTAAGCAAGAATTGAGAGCAAAATAGTAAGGCATTTTGCAATCACTTCCTGTGTGTTTCAAGTGTGCGAACCTGGAGCTACATGAACCAGATAGAAGAACTAGTTCTAAGTGTTTGTCTTTTATTCTAGTTCAATTGTAGTAGGGCTTTTGAATTGTACCTTTTAACTTTTTGTAGAAGCATTTGTACTGGGTACTTTGAGTTATATTGTTCAAATAAGAGTTAACTTGAAGCTGTAGCAACAGCCTATGGCTGGCTGCTACAAGGGTTAGAGGTAATCCTTAGGTTTACAAGAGTTTTATAAACGTTGTTGTTTGGCTCAGTTATTTAGTAAAGTGTTGAGAAAAATCCTACTGGGAAGTGGGTCGTGGTTTTTCACCTTTTGAGCTAGGTGTTTTCCACGTAAAAATACTTATGTATTTTACTTTCTGCTTTATTTATTCCGCAATAGTAGAATAAGGAACACATAGAAGAACCATGTCCTTCTATAATCAGTGCACGCAAAAATTTGATACCACACAAATCATTCCCACTCTTGTGTGTGGTATTGAAGTATAAAACATCAAATAAACTTCCTTTGAGGTTAAAAGCAACGTAGAAAATACAAATTCACTATCAAATACGAGTCAAGAATTGGAGAAACTCTAGGACTATGGGCGGAAAAAGTTCGCACCGAACAAAAAGAGAAAACATACAATCAGAGGGACATACAATGTAAAATTGTGGTGAAGTGTACATCAGAGGGATTGGTAAGGTTTTTATTAAAACCAAACAAAACTAACTATATCGGTTAGGGTTGGTTTGGCTTTGTCCATTGTTTTGATTTTTCGAGTTGTTTTGTTATATGAATATTATTTTAATCTCACTTTGTTAACACATAATAGTTATTTTTTTGTCGTCTAAGAATAATTTTTCGTTGATGTACATTATCAAGGTTAACCTAATTAAATAATTAAACACAAAAATTAATATGATACCTAAATAATGATATATTTTATTTAATTTTAAAATTATAAATTAAATATCATTTCAAATAGATATAAGATTTTAATAGATCTTGACATTTGAATATAGAAGAACAAAGAGATTAACTCATTTCAATAGCACTTGATAAGAAAGTGATGCTACAAACCATTATTTAAAGTAAAAAAAATAGATGTACTTCATAGTTCTACTAAATATTACATCCCATGAGAGGATCAAAAATATTTTTAGATATTTTTAAAAGAAAATTTTATACTCTCTTAAAAATATATATAAACATTATATATTTATAAGTCAGTTTGGTTCTGATTTTTTTACTTAATAACAAAACAAATCAAAACAAACCTAATCGGATTTTTAATCGATTTAGTTTGACTTTTCAATTTGGTGCGGTTTTTCGATTCGGTTTGAATACCCTTAGGTGAAACTATAAGGATAATCTTGGTCAAAAAATCTCGCTAAAATCAACTCTCTTGAGATCGGGCTAAACATCAAAGAGCAAGAGTGAAGAATAAAGCCCAGTTGGAAAAGACCTTAGCAAAGCCTAATGAGTTTGATCAGGCCCTTATCCATGTTCTGCATAGAAATGACATCACGTAGCCATTTTAAAGGATTACTATTTAGAAATTAGCCAATGTATCCCAAATTTCAATTTTTTATTATAATTTTTCAGGACAGAATTGTCCTAAAATTAAGATTTTTAGTTCAAATTTTCAGGACAAAATAAATACTGGATAATCCCTAAACAACAGCCATAAGGATGGTTGTTTGTGTATGTGACGATCCGATAGGTCATTTTGAGTACTAACCTTTATTTTTATATTTTGAGACCTCTTATAGCTTTATTTAATATTTATTGATCTGCGTGCATGGCCCAGATCGCTTTTCGGAAAGCTTTTATTTGAGATTTTGAAGAAAATGAAAATTTTGACTTAAAACGAGGTCAGAGTTGACCACGGTCAATATTTTAGGTAAAAGGCCTTGGATCGGTGTTTTGACGATTAGAATATGTTCATATGATTTTTTGGACTTGTCGCACGTTTGGTTAGGGTTCGGGGTGACCCGAGCGCATTTCGACACATTATGTGAATGATTGTGAGAATTGAGCTTTAAGTTGAAATTCTTGAGCTTTAATGATCAATTCTTGTTATTTGATGTTATTTTTATGATTTGAAGTAGCGAGCAAGTTTGTAGTATGTTATTTCACTTGTGTGCATGCTCGATTTGGAGCCCGAGGGGCTTGGGGAAGTTTCAGATGTGTTTTGAGAAATTTTGGAATGGTTGGTAGCAGTTGTTGCGGGTGTGGATTTGCAGATCGCGCATTTGCTAGGTCTTGCTCGCAAATTCGAGCATCGCTTTTGTGGTCAATGCATTGCATCTGCGAAATGGGGTTGGGCTGGGTGTCTTCGCATTTACGAGGGTAGGTTCGATTTTGTGAACGTTGGACTTTCGCATTTGCGAATATTTTGGTTGCATATTGCCATGAGCATTTAGGATAGCTTCGCATATGCGAAGCATTTATCCGCATTTGCGATGGTGGGTTCCTAGCATTTGTGAGATTTATGTCGCATTTGCAACTTCGATAGGCCTGATGCACTGATAGAATTTGCGATCAATGTGTCGTATTTGCGGGCGTTGTAATTGGGAATAAGAGTTCGCAATTGCGACATCTGCAGCTGGGGTAAAAGATTGAAAAATTGGTACTTAGCTCATTTTCAACCCCAAGCTCTCTAGAGTCGATTGTTGAAGAGCTTTTTCTTCCTAAATTCATTGGTAAGCATCTTTAACTAGTTTTCGATCAGTTTCAATTACTTTTCATGAATTTTTAATAACAAATCTAAGAATTTCATGGTATAAATTAGGAGTTTTGGGTTGTATTTAGAAATTTTGTAAAAATTGAGATTTAAACCTCAAATAGAGGTCGGATTTCGAAATAAATCACATAACCCGTTGGGGGTGAATGAGTAATCGAAATTTGGTCAGGCTCTCGGATTTCAACCAAGCAAGCACGGAGTTGACTTTTGTTGACTTTTTCAAAAATGATAAAAATTGAACCTTTTTCATTCGTGGGTAATTTCTAAATCTTGTTTTGAATTGTTTGAACGGTAATTAGCTAGATTCGGTTGGTTTGGAGGCTTGTTCGAAAGGTAAAGCCGTGATTGATTGTTGATTTGGTTGCTGAGTGAGGTAAGTGTCATGGTTAACTTTGACTTGAGGGAATTAGGACTTGTGTGGTCTATTTGCTACATGAACTATGTATGGAGATGTGATGACCCAAAAGGTCATCTTATATTTTAGAACTTGAATATGCACTCTTAAGCCTTAAAAATCTCATTTTTACCCTCCTCAATTTGCGTGCGCAGTCCGGGCAGGCTTCCGAAAAGCTTTTATGTTAAAAATTAATAAAAATAAGAATTTTTGCATTAAAAGTTGATTTTTGTTGACTTCGGTCAATATTTTTGGTAAATGGGCCCGGATCTGTGCTTTGACGATCCCGGTAGGTCCGTATCAAATTATGGGACCTGGGCGTATGCCCGGAATTGAATTCGGAGGTCCCTAGCTTGAGTAATGAATTTTTGATGAAAATTAAAAGTTTGGAAATTATTTATTTTTAAGAATTGATTGATATTTGGCATTGTTAGTATCGGGTCCGTATTTTGGTTCCGGAATCCGGTACAGGTTCATTATGATATTTAAGACTTGTCTGTGAAATTTGGTGAGAAACGGAGTTGATTTGACGTGATTCGGACGTCCAATTGAGAAGATATGAATTTTAAAGTGTTATTGAGAATTTCATTTGATTTGGTGCTAAATTCGTAGTTCTAGGTGTTATTTTGGCGATTTGATCGCGTGAGCAAGTTCGTATGATATTTTTAGACTTGTGTGCATGTTTGGTTTGGAGTCCCGAGGGCTCGGGTGAGTTTCGGATAGGCCACGTGATGTTTTGAACTTAGAAATTTTGCTGGTATAACTGAACCTGTTGCAGGCCTCTGATCTCACAATTTCGAGATCAGGCATCGCAAATGCGAACATAACAGGGTTCGCAATTGCGAGGGTTTCATCGCAATTGCGATTAGAAGCCTGGGCCAGCAGTTCTTGCATTTGCGAGGTTACCTTCGCAATTGCGAAGGGAGTCTGGGAAGGGCAGGTTCGCAAATGCGAACATTTACTCGCATTTGCGAGGTTCAGTGGTCTCAAATGCGACACTTTCCTCGCATGTGCGAAGGCAGCGGGATTGTGAAGGGCATCGCAATTGCGAGCTTCGTATTTGCGAAGCTCAGGTCGCAATTGCGACACCTGCAGCTGAGTAAAAGGGGCTTAGACGGGAGTTTTCATTCATTCTTCATATTTTCAAAACCCTAAACCTTAAGAGGCGATTTTTCATAGACCAAATCATCCCCAGATCATAGGTAAGTGATTCCTAACTCTTTTCTTTCAATCTTTTACATCTTATAACAAGATTTCAACCTAGAATCTAGAATTTTTATGGTGAAATTAGGATTTTTGGGTAGAACTTAGGAATTTCGAAATTTGAGGATTTAGACCTCAATTTGAGGTTGGATTCCAAAACTAATTACATATTCGGGCTTGGGGATGAATGGGTAAAAGGATTTTGGTCCGAACCTCGGGTTTTGACCAAGCGGCCCCGGGGTCGATTTTTCAACTTTTTGGAGGAAATATTTGAGAAATTTAATTTATGCAATATAATTGATTTCTTAAGCAATATTTGATATTATTGAGTCATGTTTTAATAGATAAGAATGGTTAGGAGGTGAATTTCAAAGGAAAAGCTGTGATTGAGAATTAAGTGGCCTTCGGAGCGAGGTAAGTATTGTGTCTAACTTTGACTTGAGGGAATAGGTATTGTGTGAGTATTTGCTACGTGTTTTGTTGTTGAATACGATGTATAGTTGAGGTGACGGGCATCTATGCATTGTGGTCGAGTCATAGCATGCGAGTAAAATTCCATTCTTACAAATTTGTAGTCTTAAATCTTGTTATCCATGCTTATTGTTGTTGTTGAAATATTGGGAGACTTGTATCCGGTTCCACCAAGGTTGATAAAATTGTGACTATTGATTTGAGGTTGAGATATTAAATTGTGAAAGTAATCATTGATGAAATATTGATTTCTTTGTGAAACTTCTCTCTATCCGTTGTTATTGATTCTGTGA